TTTTTTTTTTTTTATTAGGATCATCGGTTAAAAATAATGGTTTAATGTATCACAGCGTCGATTAAAACTTGTAACATTTAACTCGAATGTTTCTCGACACGGATTGACTCGTTTTGAAATCCGGTCCCGAGCATGAAATACCTGGAATGAGAGTCGTGTCTCGCGTAAAAGGTAGCGACGTAATTATGCGCGATATGATTGTGCCAGGGCCAATTTGAACTGTGAAATACCATAAATTTCTGTTCAATCGGATTTTTGAATTACCTGGCTTGGCGCGCTATATCAAAACTATGATGCGGATTAATCATTATGGAAACCGGCGACACTAGTCCCGTGAGGTCGTTAAAGGCATTTACATTAATTATCTCGTTACGTCGCCGCTGACAACCGGATATTTAATGAGGACTATCTTTAGAAACCGCTGTTTCGGTGCATCCGAAAGGTCGTTCGCTTGCAAATTAAAAGGTGAATATTTCCACGATGCTCTTTCACTTTTTCGCGTGAATCATTCTATATCAAAGACGCGGCTTCTGATCAATTCTTCGATCTAATATCGCGCAAAAGCACGGTGAAAATTTTATGTATAGGAGAAATGTTATACCCTTTGGGGATAAAGAATATTCACCAAATTATTTTTTCTCGTTTCTCGTATATTTTCATTCAAGTAACGGATTCACCTTCCGTGGAATATCGTATTATTTATAAAAAGCTCGAATGCTCTTCGCTCGGTTAATTACTCCATTACATGGGATCTCGTTGGTCACGAGATTAAACGACCGATGCCTGCGGACTCGTCGTTGCGGGAGAACAAGAGGGAACTGCTCTTGATGAATTGCTCGTCCAATCATCTCATTACGCTTTTGCCTGCTTCTAGTTCTAGTCGAACACCACCGAGAATCCATCTTATTCCATCCATTGAATTTGTTCGCTGGAGAGACGTCGTCTTGCCGAGCGAGTGAAAGAATTTCGCGAAATTCGAGGAACGCGTCTCTAGAAACAATTTGTAATTACGGCAAGAGAATGATCGAAAGCAATCGAGATCGTATCTCTTAATTGCGCCCTTTCTTCTCGACGATTTCTGTAGCGACCACGCGATCCCTTCGAATAAACGCTCTAAGAATCTTCGATGATTCTCGAACATTCGATTTGAAAGCATTTTACAAGTCGCCAGGAAATCTTTCCGTAATTACCAGCATTGGAACGCGTGGTTCTCCTTTTCCTCTTCCAAGCATGGTCGACAGGGTTGCTCGGGAGCAAGGAGTGCGTGGAGCTTGGTCACGGTTCGACCACGATTCCCCGGACGGTGTCAATGTCTGCGGACAGGATATCCTCGAGAGGCTCGAGTGGCCGTCGTTCTCTGTCTTCCACGCGGAAAGTGGACCCAGAACGCATACCGCCCCCTTCGGGTGGGTATCTTGTGACCCCACCTTCTCTGCCCTGTGTGTAGTCGTCGTTGTCGGTCGCTAGGGTCGGAGTTCATTGTGCCACAAGTGCATTCCGAGCGGCGGCGGCCAGCCAATTGCTCGTTACAAACGTGAGGCCAGTTGTGAATCGGTCTGCGAAAGGGGCACCGACTTTCTTTCCTCCGCCGCGATTCTTCGAGTATTATTTCTTTTTTTTCTTTCTTTTTTTTATCCAACCGCGCTTCCTCGCCCCTTTCTCGCGCGGTACGTACAAATTTAATCCGTTTAATCGTCGTTGAACCGTGTGTCGCGGAGAGAAGCTCGTGAGTTGAAACTTGTGACGTGATTCGGTTCATGTCTCCTCGACGATTCTCCTCGAAATTGTTCTCGTCAAGGGCGATCCGTATCTTCGCCCTTGCGCTTCGCAAGGTTTAGTCATCTTGGATATCTGTTGGTTTTTGTTGCTTCCTTGGAGCGATCCTGGAAAAAAGAACTCTTGTCTTGTGAGAGCTTTTCCAATTAATCCGCCCGAGATTTTAATCAACGACAATTTCGTCGAGCATTATTAACCAAATCTTTTCCGACGCGCAATTTTTTTGCTGATCGATCCAATCGGTCCGCCGACACTTCCTCTCCTGTCCTTTGAGAAACACGATTACGCAACGCCTCTTTCGAATTCTTATTCGAGTCTCGTTCGAGATCACGTAGAAGGGAGGCTTGTGCTTCCCATGCCGCCGGCGCGCGTAATTGCGGATTCCTTGGTGAAAATTAGCTTCGCCGGCGTGAGGAACAATTATAATATTCCCATCGACTCGTACATGGAAATCCGTGAGAAACGATTCGCGCGACGAGGAGGGAGGGGAGGGGCCGCTACGATCCGTGTACGCGCGTAAGAATCGAAAGAAACGAAGGAGCGGCGTATCGCGCGAATCGTGAAATTATTCCGCGCGTGACGAAAAACTGATCGGAAACTTTGGTTGCGGCAACGGGCTCGGATGACGATTCGCGGCCGCGCCACGCCTTCGATACGTTTCGCCAACGTGGATCACGTAACGCGTTCGTACAGCGTCGAGACGGACGAGAGAAAACGAAGTCGTTCCACGTCGCGCGGGGCAATTTGCAACGGGATAAAGGGAACCCGCGTATTTGCATTCCGAGCTATACGTGCAACGAACCGGTGCACCTGCGCCTCTTCCCCTCTGTCGTAACGGAGAAATGGAAAGTTGATGTTAATCGATGATGGAGATCATACGATAATTCGAGAAAATTCGATCAATAAATTTGTGGGCGAGGAAACAATCTATCGTGACGTTAATCGTGAGAATTTCCATCATGTAGAAGGTATATATTAACGTATTTTCAGTCGTCTTAGCCGTCTCTGAAATCGATCTTCGAAAAGTACCTCTCAAAAATATCGATGGATGAAGAAATGATGGAGATCCTACGATAATTCGAGAAAATTCGATACGCCAAAATAAATTCGTGGACGAGGAAACAATCTATCGTGACGTTAATCGTGAGAATTTCCATCATGTAGAAGGTATATATTAACGTATTTTCAGTCGTCTTTGGAATCGATCCTCGAAAAGTATCTCGCAAAAATATTGACGGATATGAAGAATGATATGAGAAATGATGGAGATCATACGATAATTCGAGAAAATTCGATACGCCAAAATAAATTCGTGGACGAGGAAACAATCTATCGTGACGTTAATCGTGAGAATTTCCATCATGTAGAAGGTATATATTTTCAGTCGTCTTAACCGTCTCTGGAATCGATCTTCGAAAAGTATCTCTCAAAAATATCGATGGATGAAGAAATGATGGAGATCCTATGATAATTCGAGAAAATTCGATACGCTAAAATAAATTCGTGGGTAAAGAAACAACGTGAGAATTTCCATCATGTAAGAAGTATATACGGATTTATTAACATTTTCAGTCCCTAGAATCGATCCTCGAAAAGTATCTCGCAAAAATATCGAAGAAATGATCCTACGATAATTCGAGAAAATTCGATACGCCAACATAAATTCGTGGGCGAGGAAACAACGTTAATCGTGAGAATTTCCATCATGTAAGAAGTATATACTGATTTATTAACATATTTTCGGTCCCTAGAATCGATCCTCGAAAAGTATCTCGCAAAAATATCGAAGAAATGATCCTACGATAATTCGAGAAAATTCGATACGCCAAAATAAATTCGTGTGCGAGGAAACAACCGTGACATCGTGACATTAATGGTGAGAATTTCCATCATATAGGAGGTATATACGAATTTATTAACGTATTTTCGATCTCTGGAATCGATCCTCGAAAAGTATCTCGCAAAAATATCGATGGATGAAGAATTGTTAATTGGGAAAGGAAGCGAATTAAATTAGAAATAATTCAAAAAATTGTAATTTCATGCGATTCTTCTCGAAACGAACGTAAGATCGTAAATTTCTCGGTCAGGAGAGATCTCATCTCCGTTTACACGAATTAATTAGCTCAATATTGCCTCGAAAGCCAAGGTTGAGCATACGTGGACGAGGGGATAATCGGATAATTAAGATCTTCCGCGTTAATGCTCCACGCCGAATGATCCAGATTCAGTGACGAGATCATTCGGATGGTATCTGGTGTCGTGCTGGTCTCGACGATAAGGTTCGTTCGAGATTTCTTTGACACGGCTACGTATGAAAAGCCGCGTTACGCAAATGAGAGAGAAAGAAATTTCTCACGATAGTGACAGCTGCGCAGTTGAGGAACGAAAGTATTTCTCGTGATCTTTGTATCGTGTTCACGCGGTCTCGAAACGGTTGGAAAAAAAAAAAAATGACGCGGAGATTGAATTATAAACCACATGTGGCGTTCGAAACTGGTCGACCAAGAACGAAAGAATATTAGTCGGTGACATTAGACGCGGATGAAAGTGTAAACTCTTCCTGCCAGTCGTGGTCTATGGTTATTTTCGATTTTTCACAGTGAGCTCGTAATCCGAAATAACCTATTTATTCGTTCGCTTGTTAGTTCTTCTTCTTTGGTGCAAAAGATTTCGCAAATAAATCGGTGATAAAACATGGTTTAATGACACGATTGATTCGTTAAAATATTTTGTTTTTTTAATTTTTACCAAAGAATTTCTAAAATCGAAGGATGTACATATAATACAAAATTTATTTTAACAAAGGATTTTAAAGATGCTGGTTTCATCGAAGTCTTGTTTATCAGACACATTACTCGTACTGTCGAGTAAATCAGCCAATTGGCCCCAACTTAACATTTCCTGTCGCGAAGAACCGTCCTTTGAAAGAGATCGCTCGTCGTCGTCCCTCTTATGTCAAACATGGGCGACATCCCTTCTCATCGTCGACGACTCTTCGATATGATTCTAAAAATGCTGCAATTTTTCTCGAAACCGAATCATCTCGCTTACTTTCTCGCAAGGCGTGCATCGAACGTCTCTTGCGAGCACAATCGGGTCAATAGAAATTGCCTGTATAATAATAAGAGCAATAAGAGTGTGTCGTTAAACGTTTTGTATCTTTTCTTTTCTTTTTATTTTTTTTTTTTTTTTTNNNNTTTTTTTTTTTTTTTAGGCGTCAGAGATATATGGACGATTGTATCGTCGCACCGTCTCTTGTTACCGATAGTAATGAGACACTGCGCGTTTAAAGTCGGCTGGCCATTTTGCACCAGCCGATACGTCGATCCGTTTCCGGCGAAAGAATGACACGCGAGACGACACAGAGGCGTCACATTCGTTCGATCGACGCCAAAGTCTGGCCGGTTCGTTTAGCAACCCATCCTTTTGAAAAGGCTAATTGAACGTTCGCCTTGGTATCCGAAGACTTTCACTGCTTGTCGAACCTTCGACGAACGTAAGTATTCACCGTGTTTTACGTAATTTTTCTTTTCGTTATTTCGTTCGAAAATACCATATAAAGGGGGAATAAAATTTTCTAGCAAAAATTGAGATGACCGTTTCGGGGATCTGGCAGTTGATATCCTTCCTCGTAGTTGTATCTTCCTCCGCGGTGCTTTCGGCGGACAACGTATGCCCGAGAATGGAAAAGTGAGTGTTGCTCTTCGATCGATTCTCTATCGATGGAGATTAATATAGCAATGAGATTTGAAAGTGCTTTCGGATCTAAATTAAATTACATTCAGAAACAGACGCATCTGTATCTCTTCTGATGTTTGAATGAAAATACGCGTACAAAATTTACATCCATCGTCGTTTGACCGAATTCGGAATTTAGTAAAAGTAAACGTATCGATGGTTGCATATTCGCGAGAAACGCAGAGGTTAAACACCTCGGCGGCGGACGAGCCTTGACAATAACCCAGTGGCGCTAATTTAATACGCGGTCACCCGGTCCCGTGTTCTCCCGATAAGGAAACCGCGAGACAAGCCGATACTTAATTGATCAAACATTGCAGCTACACGATCACCTCGATGGAAACGTACACGGAGCCGGTTATCGTGATTACGTTCACCTGGTGCCTGCAGATTCCACCCAGGTGTCCCAAGACTCGAACGGAGATGAGGCCACGGTATCGAGTGAAGGTGAGGCATGATTTACTCTTCCGCTTTCTTTTTTGCTCCTTTTGCTCGATCGATTGCCTGCCCCTTTATAATGAAAATTGATTTATATTTATATCGTTTATTTTGATACCGCCGACATTTATACAATTAGGGGGAAAGCGATGGGCGACAGACGTTGGTGAAATATATTTTTTAATTAAACGAGTTTCGCTTCTGCTACGTTGATCGAATATTCGAGGAGGATCGTGATGATCGATCGTTTGAATTAATGGAAAATTTTTCATCCAAGAGGAATTTTTGAATATTCGTGCAAGATTTTTTTTCTGGCGAGATAAATCTTCTCCCATTCAAACACGAGGAGAGAAAAATGGCCAGGATGGAGTTGCAGGAGGGATACTTGCAATAAATCCACCGATGAACGTGTAATGGTCTTCGTTACACGGTGCAATAAAACCATGGTGGCAAGTCTTCCGCCGTTTCGATCCCCTCTTGCTCTCTCGGCCGATAAGAGACGTGCAACTTAACCGTCTTCTATTCCTCTCTGATTAAACATTTGAGAAACATAGACATTTTGATCGCGTTTATACGTCGTTTGAACGTCGAGAAAAAAGATCTTGATATGGATATGCAAGAAAATATTAAAAAAAAAATCCATAAAGAATGAAATTACCGGTGGAAAATTTTGTATTCTTATATCAGTACATAATGAAATGCCCAGTTTTTCTCGGTATTTTTTTTTTTTCTTTTTTCTTTTTTTTTTAATTAGAAATATCGTTCTCGATATCGCAGTAACGCAGAAATAGAGTTAATTTAACTATGCCTTTTAACGGCTTCCTGTTCGAATTATTGAAACTGTACACCAAAGAACAAAAGTGGAAATTAGAAACCGTTAAACTAACACGATTGCGTGCGATTTATTATATATCATATTATATATATCGTTATTATATATCATTTTATAAATATAAAGAATTGCAGCAAGAAATACGCTTGCACAACGTTTAAACAATTTCTTACCTCTTATCTATTACAATATAACGTGAAAAAGTTAATTATTGTAGAAAAAAAGTTCTCACAACAATATTGTTAGTATCGTAGCAAAGATCTTGCGAGGATGATATCACTTTCCTTGTTTTTATGTCGAAAGTGGCGATTATGTAAAGAAGTAGCGAGTAAATATTAACTCTTCCAATAATTAACGCACCATTTTTTACTCAGATCATACACTTCCCTGGCCATTTTAACTATTTCGTTTCGCCTTATTGTTTGTCGATACGGATCTTTTTATTTCTTTTTTCTTTGTTTTATTTTTTTTTTTTTTTGCTCGTTAATGGTAATATAAATATAATATCATCTGAAAATATACAATTTTATTAGAAGATAAAAATTATATATACAAATTAATATTAATATTTTATTTATATAATGTGATACACGTTTCTATGTTTAAGATATTAAAGAGTTTGATCATAGAAAGTAAATCATAAGTTATTAACTGGAACGATTCGAATAATTTTGCAACGCGCGATCATAGCAGAATTAAAAAGATTATCCACGGAGTTTTTTTTAAATTACGCGCCATTCTATAATCAATCCGATACCGCCATATCGATCAATTAATTGACAAATCAATCAAACTAAAAATCTACAATGTTTCCTGTTTCAAAATCGAGATTCAATATACGTGATTGCGGTATAATTTTATTTCGTAATTTAATTTAATCCTGCGATAATTATCGTACCAATTAATTGCTACGATAAACTAATTAAACCAAGATCTATATTTCCTGTTTATATACATATATTTCCTATATTTATCAACGAAGAAATCAAGATTTCGATCGAGACTTGGAATAATAAGAGCCTACCTTGGATATAATTTTAATTTATAATTTTATATATAATTCCGTAGAGGAACGAAAAGACACCAAAAGATCGTGATTATTTCTTCTATACCCACGATACTTAACGATAATTACCATGCATCGATCGTTAATTACAACCGAGAGACGTATAAATCAATTAAACCTAGATCCATACCAAATGTTTCCTGTTTATCTGTTAAATAATCGAGATTCCATTGCAGATTTCGGTAAGCCGGTTAAATACCCTCGATCGAGACCCGTTACACGATCTTGCGTAATAAGTCCACGTCCAGCGACGTTGGGTTGGAGCGATTACTAGAAGGAAGAAAGCGAGCGTGTTTGATGCAAATGTGGTCGAACCGTGGAAAAAAAGCGCGTCCCTGTTTTCTTCCACCGCAGACGTATCGCGGAATGATCCGTAACTCTTTCGTAACGGGACGTCGTCGTTGGATCGTCGACGTGAAATAATCGCGAAACGGTGTACCCTTCTACGAGTTACAATCGAAACTTTCTCCAAGGAAAATCGAGAGCGAGAGGATAAAAAAATGGGGTAACTTTTAGATCGAATACACGTGGATCGATACAAGTCCCTTGAGGTTTGCCAGTTGTAAACGGTGTTGGTTAACGAGATCGAGATAACCGATTGTCGGAAGAGAAAATTTAGACCCGGTGTAAATTTCAATCGTTTTGCAATGGAGGCAAGATTTTCTAATACGTATAAAATGACTAATCGAGAAGAACACGTGTCTAATTCGGTGCACGTGGATAATTTGTGTAGAAATTGGACGTTACGATTGAAATTTTCGTGTTCGTTTTCGTTGTGCTATAGATTCTATATCTATACATATAAGGCCGTATTTCTAAGCCTACTTAAAAGTTGGAGGGCGCGTTGAAGAATAAATTTAAATTCGATATAAAGTGTTCTGTCTGCAGTTCGAAGTTTTTGCCATTTTCTTCCTTCTTACCTGATTCTGCTTCCATATAAAATGCTTTGGATAAAACGTATCGTACAAGTACTTGAAGAATAAATTTAAATTCATCGTGATAATCTTTATCCAAGAAAATAATTATTTACTTAGTACCAATTCACTTTTTTTATTATTCGATTCAAATCTATGAGTCAAAATCTTTTAATCTGGATTATTCGAGTAATCTGGATACCAACAAGTTTAGGAAACTTCATGTAATGGAACGTACACACGATACACGGGTGTATATCACCGACAATGAGAACGTATCCTTATGAGAAAAAGATGAAGCATCGAACGCCGCGCCATATATCGCGCGTTACCCAAGTCTCTCACGGTCGGAGCCTAATATTTATTGCTTTAAGAACATCACAACGTGTTTTTGCTCCGTATTACGCGAAGAATTACATAAAGAAAGAGGGAAAGGGACTTTCGAACGGCGTAAGATTCGTAAGAAAATTTATTTTTCGAGGATCACAAAAATCGACAAACTTTAGCGATTCGTTCGGCAATCCAGTGATTTCGTCACTGGCAATAACTGTCGAAGATTGTAACCTATTCCTTTTGAAATCCAATCCAGTCCAGTCCAGACTTTGGACGATATGATTGATAATGTAATAATGGTGAAAAAGAGTCGAATCGACTGTTATTAAAGTGCTCGTACGAATCAAAGAAGGGAAAGAGAAGGGATTAATATTTAGGGAGGAATGTTTTGTCGAAGTAATGGAAGAAGCTTTTGTCATTGTAAACGTGATTGATGTCCACGATATTGAGAAATTTATAGAACTCGTCGAATGACGAAATTTGAAAATCAGAATTACATTGAAACTTGGATTAAATGATTTTGATTATCTCTCGATAAACTGGATACGCTTTACACTTTCTAAAAGGAAAAATAATTATTAAACGATTAACAGAGATACGAAAGAAAAAACAAAGGGAGTATTTAGTATCGAAACACGCGGATATTAATCAGAATTATGCCAGAGTTAGGTAACCTCGAAGATAACAGTAATTGGCAAGACAATGCGAGCAGGCCTTGAACGCGTTTCAAAATGGAGCTACTACGTTTGTAAACGCGTAGTAAATCGTGTCATGAGACGAATGGTGGAGCGATTTGTACGAGAGTTTCTTCGAAACTGACTAAAGTGTCCTAGAAAAATGAAATGATCGAATCGGGAATCAAGCGTGAAAACCCGAAAGAAGAAACACGAGATAGGATCAGCCATTCTCAGCCATTCCATAAGTAAATATATCTGAGATCAAGTCTCAATAATTTCAATATCATCAAGTATTATTACAATTTAAAATCATTTTTTTTTTAAATTAGGATAAAATCTTTTGAACGAATACATTGCGCAAATTACAGCTATTTTAATAAACCATCACTTGCAAACCTTTAGTGTTAGAAAGAAAACGGACAGCTAACAATCGACATCTCGAGGCCGTTTTCTACGAGTAAAAAGCAGGGAAAGAACGAGATACGGTTAATTGCATAACTTTTCGAGTATTACGTGGTCACAAACTTATAGTCATTAAATCGACTTTTCACCAAGAGCATCTACAAAATGGTCACGAGCCATTATTTGGTCAGACTTTGAGAGGAGGAAACGTGTTACGTAAAGTGGCCGCCCGTGCCACTTTCTGTTGTGACTAGCTACATCGTAAATATTGTCACAATTATCAGCGTCATTATTAATCGTGTTAATCTTTTTCTTAATTTTTTCCATCGATCGAATCTGTCAACATCGAATCTGTTGCGCAATACTGTCAAAATATTTTACATAAGTGATACGAAAGAGAAAATGTGATTAAGAGTCATCGATTAACTAATCTACCTGGTAGCTTAATAATTTATGTAATTCTTATAGCGATAGAATGTTTGGAATGAATTTTTCATTTAGAATTATTTCATCTAGAATGTGTATCACAAAAATAGTTTGCACTTTTGATTAGAGAGATTTGCGATAACTTTGTAATTACGATCTTCATCACTTTTAAATCTTGAGATCCTGAATTTCTATTTATAATTTACTACGTAAAAACAAAAATCTTTTTCCGCATCGAATCGTGATAGGCGATAATAATTCAAAAGAGGTTTTAAATTATTTCGTGGATAATAATACGATTCTGTTTGAATTTAATCGCGTGAGAAGCACGAATAAGAAGGAAAGAAATTATGATTGCGCATAAAATAAAACTGTAAATTCTAATTTCTTGACGTCTTCATTTGTAGTTTTCTTCTCAAAAAAAAAAAAAAAAAAAAAAAGAAAGAAAAGATAATTTAATTCTTAAGAAAAGAATTTCCTCCCTCGTTAAGAATTAATTAAAAATAACTTTTTTCTTCTTTGGAATTAGCGTCCAATATTCGCAATTACAAAGAAATTTCGAACCGTCCGACATCCCTGTAAAGATTTTTACAACTAGTTTCGCGAAAAAAATATGAATTGGAAGTAAAACAACACGCGATGTATATCGCGGTGTATATAAATAAAACTTTCAAGAAATACGGAAATCGTGGAACAAGGATTACGTGCATAGACTACATGCATGAGATCAATCCGCACGAATGATTTATGAAAACGAAATAGATATATTTTTCAATTCAAGGAATCGGCGGATTAAAATCCGATACACGCTATTGGAATACGCTGATCCCGCATACGTGCAACGAACTTTGATCGATGTCGAAATAGATTCATCGGAATCTAGAAACGATTAATTGACACATTAACGAACCGTTCTCCGATAAAATTTCAAATTATACATTTTTCCATAATTCAATTTTATCGGTAGATAAGATAGAGATATCTTTCTGACTTTGTTAAAGTTTGTCAAAACTTTAATTCCTAAATAAAAGATAATGACTCACGAACTCGAGAAAGCCGCACGATACTCTTTTTTCATCCATCCGAACGAATGAGGCTAGTTAAAAAGAGCTAGGGATTTTTTCATTTGTCCCCCAGTTCAAGGTTTTCATTTCTATTTACAAATTATTCCAACTCGATTCTCTCGCTTCTTCCTACTCTTCTATTTAATGGTAATGTTGCATTATGTTATTGAATTAAACCGCCACGATACACGAATTGCATAACGAATCATTGGTTCGTGGAGAAAGACAGATATTAATTGCAATATTGTGTCGGTAGAGTGGATGGCGTCATTCGTGAACATTAATCGACTTTATCGCGCATAACGATCTGCGCATAATGTCATTCAAATGCGGATCGCGCGAATTTGTTTCTGGAAGAAAGAATATGCAACAAGGATGAAAGGACAACAAACAAGATGATACGCAAAAAAACATGGAATCGACCGATATATCGAATCTAACCATTGTTTCATTAATATCCCGACATAAAGCGTTTCTTCATCTTCCAACAAATGTCTTGATTGAAAGTTACATTGACATTTCAAACTCCACGATGAGGCTCTCTAACCAATTGTACTTAATGCCTGCATGATCGTCGGAAATTAATTTTGTCTCATTCATTTCCTTAATATTGGATTGCAGCTCTTTTATATACTGAAATAAATAAATAAATAAATAAGAAGAAGGAGATACGAAGCTAACGTTACTAATGAATTCCCATGTAAAACGATCGTTTACATCCAACAATGGAGCCCAAGTAAGAAACAGGAAGGAGAGGCAAAGAAACGAGACGTGTAATTTATAGAGGTGAACTTTGATTTTCTCGCGCGTATCCATTTACGATGGATTACGAACGAAACAGTCGCAAGCTTACGTTTACCCTTCCTCTCGCTTTCGTTCCCCTCTTTCTCTCCTCTTTCTTTAATTTTTTCCTTTCTTTTTTTTTTTTTTTTTTTTTCTATTACGAGATTGGGATCTCAGAAAAATGGGATCTTTTCCAAGAGTCTACCAGCCTGTCCAGTTGCCAGAAGAGTTTTATTCGATGGCTTGGCCGGCCTGATTTTTGTTTCTTATTAACTTTTCTATTACCGCGCGGTGTGAAGACGTTTATTGAATCTACTGTTCTATTACGCCATTCAAATAAATTGCTTATTTAACTGGACTAATAAAGAGAAAAGTAAATAATTTTGCAACAATCGTTTGCAGACGGAGTTGAAGACCAGGATTGTAAACGAGTGTTGCGAAGGCTATAAAATGATGTCATCCAATGATGAAGAGAGTACTATCGAGTGCGTGCCTTTTTGCGAAGAATGTCTAACAGGGATCTGCGTGTCGCCAAGTCAATGCCTGTGTTCTCCTGGTTATCAGGGTGATAACTGTAAATCTGGTGAGTATCAATTTTAGAATTTTCATTTCCTCCGCTATATTGATTTTATATATTTCTAATAAAGATTTAATTTACAAATTTACTACGTTTTTTTTTTACTAGTGGTATTATTGTTTAGAAATCTCTGTCGTTAATTTTTTGTTAATTCGATAAAAAAAAAAAATTTGTTCACCCGTCGTATTTAACAAAACATCACAACGGATATATTTCACGCTCGATGAAACAAGCCGACCTTCCATAATGGTGTACGAACGAGTGCGAATAATTTTCACCCACCGTTCGATTCTGAAATCGATATTCGACCGTGTTTTCCCGCTCTCTTTCCCGCTTTAACATCGCGTTCGTGTCGGGTATCGGATATTTCTCGAGAAAACGGAAAAGTAACGATCAGGTGCACGCTCGTAATTGCGCCACTATTATCGTATAAAGAAAAAAAATGAGGAAAATACAAGCTTAATGGTTTTAATGGGTAATAACGGTACGATTTATAAAGCAATACGTTCTATTTTATCCGCAGTATGTCCACGAGGCACATGGGGCATCCAGTGCAAGGAGAAATGCAATTGCACCGAGGACGTACCTTGCAATCCCGTAAGTGGACACTGCATCTGTCCGCCAGGATTGCGTGGACAAATGTAAGTTTTTCATCTGTAAATATAATACGTCGTATCGTAGATCTCTCTCTTTGAGGCAACGCAATGAAATCTGGGTTAAAAGAACGATGTTGTTTTAATTAGATAATAATGCTTCTCGATAATTGCCGTTCCAATTACTGCTATTGCTCCAATTATTATTACGTTGTAAATGGCAATCATTTACACGATTTAAACGATTCTTAAAGAAATACATACAGAATTCTTATTAAGGTGTAATTGGATTAAGGTGTAATTGGAATAACTTGAGATATACGAGAATCCAAAAATATGGGGAAAGTATCTTGTGATAGATAAATATCGATATTTAAAAAAAATAGAGTATTCGAATTTTCAGAACAATTTTGAATGTAATTATGAATTGAAGGGATTCGACGAAAATTCCTCTTGAAATACGATTAGAATTTTATATAATAAATGTAATATTTCGGGAATCCAAAATGCGATACTAGCGCCACGTAACCATTAACTACTAACACCCAATATATTCATTTACTTGCTAGCTATTTCTTTAATTATTTATTACTTTGTTACCTCTCAAATAAAATTAAATTATCGTTCGATAATTTGATACATTTCTATTTAAAAAGAAAATTTCGAATTTAGTTGAAATGAAAAGTTCAGAAATAAATATCCACGCGTCGTGGAACGTGTTAAAAAAAGAAAGCTGCTTAGTTCGTTCAACAAGTTCCATTGATTTCCACGCGTCATATTTATTTTTAAAATTGCACAAACACACGATCCAACCTGTTGATCGAAACTCGTCTAATAACCCATAATCGCTATTATACCGGCGACACGCGTTTCCCTCGCGTGACATACGTAATAATTACCATTCTCAGGTGCAATGAGTCGTGCCCTGGCGACCACTGGGGGCCGGGATGCGCGTTTCCATGCAACTGCAAGGATTCGAGGAACGGGTGTCATCCAGAAACGGGTCGATGCATCGACGATAACAAGCTTTTCATGGAGAACACGAGCCATCCTCGTGACAGGGACGAGGAAAACAGCGTGAATGCGAATTTCACGAGTTCCCATGTGGGCACAGATACATCGCGGATTTGGGATACCACGACTTGGGAAGGTAAGAAAAAGAAAAAAATTAAGAGGATACGTGTAAAGGCGTGATATTTATTCGCGTGATGCAACTGTTGGTCGAAAGTCATGCGTCTGAATACATAATGCATCGTCGAGCAAACGTCCATTCCTTGAAATGAAAAGATGCCGAAAGACGTACGTGTAATTTACGCAATGAAAATTTTTATTATTTGATGATAATTGTTCGAAGATGATCACGAGATAGCCGCCACGACGGACAATCCTGGCAAAGCAACGTCGAAAGTACCTGAAAGCGTCTCGAGCACGGATCAGAGGAAAATTAGGACGCAGACTCGTGAGGATGGAAACTCGAGCACAGTGAAGCCTGTCATCGTTTGGGTTTCCATTCCGGAGCGGAGAAGGAACTTGGACAAAGGCCGAGGAGAATTCGCGGTTAAGAATCCGTTCGTGAGGCGCATGGATGACAACTTGCAAGACATAGGTTCATCCAAGAACGATTATGTCAAAAATATTCACAAAGGTATCAAGGATTACGGATTGAATCTAAGTTTAAGAGAAATATCTCCGAACATAAAAACTAATTAAACGGATATTCCTTAATTTTTTTCAAAACTCGATTAATTATTATATCGGAGGAAAGAGTAGGGGTACGTATGAGAGGAGATTGAAAAACGCTGATCTAACATTGAAAATGTTCGAGGAGACGTTCAATCAACTCCGATTCCCCTGGACATCGCCCTGATTGTGGTAGCCTCGATCGTATCGTTGGGTCTGACCTCGGTAGCGGTGGCCATGGTTCTCCACATGCGTTCCAAGCTTCTGGAAGCAGCTAGGATGTCGATTTACGAGGAAGCGAAGACAAAGAGTCAAGAGAATCCGAACGCGGCTAAAATCTCGTCGATAGTTACCGCTACTCTTCCTCGTGAGTATACACGATGCTCCTTTCTCGCCTGAGTGAAATCTGCCTGTCCTTGACCTCAATCTCGTACACGTAATACCATACCTCGATGTCCATCTTGAAGCAAGACAGTCCAAGCGTGGATTATTCGTGGAAAATTAGAACGGTAACACGGCAGTTTTCACTTTTTCTCGAAGGCCGCTTCTGATTTCTGATTTACGATATCGTAACGATCTAATTACATTGAAAAAACAAATGTTTTTTGAAAAAAAAAATGATAACAATTTTCAGAAACTCCAATTCGTTTGGTACCTCTGTTTGCCTCCACTCCAGAGACCAGAACGATACCAATAGATAACGATCCTAATTATGCTAATGGAGCAGCCACGATTGGTCTCAGATTATCCGGTAATTTGCATGGTAAGCGCATTCAGCGTGTTCATATTTTTGAAATTAATCATTTTTACAGATTCTTTTTTCTTTTATTTTTTTTTTTTTTTTTTTTTTTTTTTTTTTTTTTTAAGATGATGAATTTTCTTCTGGTATTTTTTTCAGGTTTCTTTCAGGAGGATCATTACGACCGGCCGCCAGCAACAAGGATACACTTGCAAAGCGAATTCGATGCTGATACTGAGCACGTCTACGATGAAATTCCCTTGCAATCGAGCCCTTTGAGCTCCCGTAGAAACGTCTGATCGAATAGCAACGTCGAACAAATAAGCTAGACTCAGTACGAAAGAAGTTCAACGCGTCTAGCTAATGGTCATATTTCAATCGAGAAGTTTTTAATATACGCCGATATCGAGGGATTAAAAAACTTGGCGTGTTTCAAGATTATAATCGTTTCAATTACAGAAAGATTTAATTAAATTACTGTTCCAATTAAAATTAGAAAACACGAGTTTATCAACTCATGGTCGTTGATTAAAAAAAAAAAAAAAACAAAAAAATACGAATGACCAAGAACTCGATTAACGAAGATCTGTGAAATATCTTCTCTCTCTCTCTTAAAAAAAAAAATCGAGCAAGATCATAAGACTATCGTATCAGCGTTTGCGTGCCATTGTTCAAGAGTCACGCTCGATTCCAGAGGCGGATGTGAGCGAGCCAGCTCGTCTATGAGGCGAGGAAAAAATCTAACTGGACTGGTTTCCGACCTTACGCATGCTCGTCAAGTGTGCAAGGCTGAACGTGACTACAATCAGTCCTCGAACAGGCAGAAAAGTACCAACACCATTCCCAACACCGATTAAACTATTCGCATTCGGGGCGTGTATTTTTCCTCGAACTTGCACGTCAAACAGCGACTATCCAACCTTCTGGACTCGTTAACCACGTCAACCACGAGAAATATCGTAGGTTGGACAAAGTGTTTGAGTGTTTGACTGCTTATAATGATTTACTTGGAAATAGTAAGTGGAGAAAGCGAATATATTGAATTTCAACGCTGATAAATCTAGCGTTTAGTTCAGTTCACTCGTATTTGAACGCGTGTTGAAGATATATGAAATTATTTAATTTCTCGTTTGTGGAAAGATACGTTTTGAGAGAAGTGAAACTCTCGAAAGCAATTTTTGAAAGTTTTATTTTCAAATGTATATTCGCATTTTAAAACAGCGTGTCGATATGTAAATATAGATAATAATTGAGGATAAATTATTATAGATAGGCTAATCATCATAGAAATAGATTTTTCTAACGATAGTTTTAACCGAGAAAGAGGAGTTGACTTAAGTAATACTGTATCATTTTTATATTTATTTGATTCTTATTAAAAGAAAAATTGATTAAAAAATAGTTCGGTTAACAGGTTAAACGAGCCAAAGATTTCGAGTTTGAGACACCAAAGAGACACGTAGCTTTAAGATTCAATGTTTTTAACCAACGCTTCGATACTATTTACGTCTTTATTTGTAAATTGACATCACTTGTAATAATAGATTCGAATTTGTGTCATGCGTCTTAACATTCGAGGGGAAAAAAAAAGAAAAGAAAAATTCAAATAGATAAGACGTAATTAAGATTTTGCGTAATTAAAATGTTTATATCAATTCGTCTATTTCGCCGAGCTTTGCTCCTCCACGATAAACAATAACAATAATCGTTGCATTATTCCGTATATATATATAAACCGTCCTATTTTCGACGATTTTTGTTAAACTTGCCGAAATTTTTCTCGCTCCTCCACTCGTGAACCGTTTTCGAATTCGTTATCGTTATTCGCGAGTCAAAACGGCCAGTTTTATCGTACTTTGAAAACAGGACAGAGACAGCAAGCATCGTGCCATCCCGCTCTCTCGCTTTATCTCGTCCGTGCATTACGCTGCATCCTCTATGGAGCAACGGGTATCGATGGGTTACATAAATCGGTAATACGCGATATATTTTCGCTGATTGTTTGGCTAAAACTGTACTAACTATAAGAAAAGAAAAAAAAACCATCCTCTCCGAATGTTAAACGATTAAAATCTTTATTTTCTCGAACAACGTTCCGATCCATGAAAACATTTCCGTAACCAAAGTAAACGAATATATATGTATATATATATATAAATTTCTACGAATTAATTGAATGAAATGAAAGTTCGGAAATGTTATCGCGCGTGTTTGAACGTAATAAAAAAAAAATGTGAGAGTTATCGAGTTGATACGCGATTGGAATTTAATTCCATTATCTTCTCTCGAGAATCTGAATGAGACGGAGGGAAGGAGAGAGGGATACAGCGAAAAATTGTCCGAACGTTGGTATGTACGTTGGTGTGTTACTTGTGCTAATAATCGCTTCCATGGAAAGAAGAGCTACGTAATCGAACGAAAAAAAAAAGACGGTGACCCCGCCGCGGTTAATGTTATCGGAAGAGAGATGTAATCCTGCGCGCATGGAAAATAAGAAACCAGTAAATCACCGATACTCGTGCATTCAACATGTCGAAAATGTTGCACGCCTGCTTTTACATTATTTCGGCGCTGTTGGTATCCGATACCTTGGCGATCGAAGGTGTGAAAGGTGGCCGTCACCGTGCCCAATATGATCGATCCCAGCTCGCCGTGAACAGCACGATGGCGCAAGGACTTTGCTACAAGAGAATACGGTGAGCGATATACGGAAAATTTCGAAAGTCGGGATGTTGTTTCTTCCAAACGGATGCGAATTCATCGTCTTTTTTTTCCTTTTCAGTTACCAAGATGCTGTCAAATTGAACGCCACAGGTCAATTCCTTCATAACACTCTTCCAATGACTTCTCAGGAAGGCACGGTAAATACATTATACGATTTCTATATGTATCTTACGTATTATTATTGAGACAAGGACGCAGAATATAATTCGATAGATCTTAATTACTTACGTACGAGCGTGATAAGAAAAATAATTTCTCATCTCTTTTCCATTTTTTCTTTCTCTTGTTAACAGAAAGGTGGATGGATAACGATTTTGGATTGTTGCGACGGCTACGAGCGCAACCTTAACTCCGGTGCCTGCGACCCGATCTGCACCGAGGGATGCCTGGGCGGAAATTGCACAGGGCCGAACGTGTGCAGCTGTTCGCCAGGATGGATCGCTCAGAAGGGTGTTTGCGGGCCTTACTGCGAGCAAGCTTGCCAGAAGTACGCCTACTGCTTCTCGCCGAACGTGTGCGCTTGCATGTTGGGCTACGAGGAGGTGAACGGCGAGTGTAAGCCCATCTGCCCTCATGGATGCGTGAACGGCGAATGCGTGGCGCCCTACGTGTGCAAATGCGGACCCGGATACCAACTCGAGCCAGGGATGGAGGGAACGAACGCTAAATGCGTGCCCGTGTGCGAGAACGGTTGCCGCAACGGAGAATGCACGGCTCCTGGGGTGTGCACTTGTCACGAAGGGTAAATCGACGGCGCATCGATGATCCACACTCGAGATACCGAGTAACGCGCCTAGATGAATTTCTTCCTACCATGATCCGTGTTTATTCTTTCTTTCAGATTCGTCAATCCTCCAAATGACCCCGAATACTGCGCCCCCGATTGTCCCGCGGGCTGCGTCAATGGCAAATGCATCGCCCCCGGCGTTTGCCAATGCGAGCCGAATCACGTTCTCAACGGCAGCAACGCATGCGTCCCGGAGTGTCCTCGAGGTTGCGTTAACGGCGAATGCGTCTCGCCCGGGGTCTGCAAGTGCGAGCCAGGCTTCACCCTCGATCCCGTCAACAAATGCGTGCCGGAATGCCGTGGAGGTTGCGTTAACGGCGAATGCGTCTCGCCCGGGGTCTGCAAGTGCGAGCCAGGCTTCACCCTCGACCCCGTCTCGAACAAGTGCGTGCCGCAATGCCCCCTGGGCTGCGTGAACGGCGACTGCGTTGCGCCCGGTGCCTGCGCCTGCAAGCCAGGTTACACCGTGGACGCGAGCAAAAGCTGCGTGCCAATATGTTCCCGAGGTTGCGCGAACGGGAAATGCGTTGGGCCAGATTTTTGCGATTGCAATCCGGGCTACACTCTGGACGGCAACGACAACTGCGTGCCGGATTGTCCCCAAGGATGCACGAACGGCGAATGCGTTGCCCCTGGAGTGTGCAACTGCGACGTCGGCTACTCGCGCGATCCAAGCGGCGGATGCGCGAAGAAGGCGGGGATCGGTGAGCCGGGGGCGGCCACGGATTGTCAATTGGACTGCGGCCCGAACGCGCACTGCGTCGGCCCCAACCAGTGCACCTGCGATCTTGGATTCAAGTTGGATCCGGACACCAAGAGGTGCGTCCCGTTCTCCAACTCGTTCCAATGCAGGAACGGGTGCGGCGCTCATGGGCTCTGCGTCGGCCCCGACATGTGCATCTGCGATTACGGGATGGCCGTCGATCCTGTGACGGGCAGGTGCCCGGAATCGAGAAGTCAGACGGCAAATTCGAATCGAGATCGGGCCGAATGCCAGCACGGCTGCGGGCCGAACGGTGTCTGCGTTGGCCCCGATCGTTGCGCTTGCGACCAGGGATTCGTGCTCGATTCAAACACCGGTAAATGTGTCTCCTCGTCGGGAAGGGGGGAGCCTTTCTGCGAGTTCCCGTGTCTGAACGGGGAGTGCACCGGTTTGAATCAATGCACGTGTAAGCGTGGTTACGTTATCAGCCCCTCGGATGTGACGAGGACGAGATGCGTGCCCGTGTGCCTGGGTGGATGTCACAATGGCGTCTGCACGGCCCCCAATTTGTGCATCTGTAACCCTGGCTTCACGAAAGAGACTGGAGTCAAGGGCAGACAAAGATGCGTCCCCGCTTATTGAGTTGATAACAATATTATTATTTTCTTCCTCTCTTCTTTTTTTTTTTTTCTTCTTCTTCATTGTACGGCTCCTTATCGGAGCACGAGTAAGATATATGCGTCGTACGATTGCGAATAACGTATGCGCGTGCCATAATTGATGTATAAGGGAAAATTCAAAACGGTTGTTGGATCACAGCTTTGATCGTAGCGTCCTTTTTATCTTTGTACACGTACACGATTGTGATTGGTAAATAAAGAGAGCATATACTTATACGGAAACAGCGCTATGCGCGTATTATTTTAAGAATTGTGATTATTAGGGAAGCGATATCGCTGGACATCCTGTTTCGTTTCTATCATGTCGCAGGACACGATTATACGCGCCATATGACACGGCGCCAGTGAATACTGAGAAACTGTTCGACATGCATCTCGCATTTCTCCAAGTATTTGTACTTTTTCTCCCCGTTATTTTCAAAGTAACCGGGACGATACTCTTCCCAGACAAGAACCAAGGTATTTGTACGCAAAGAATCAGGTATGTTGTCGGATAAATTGATCGAGGCGTGCCCGAAGAAAATCGATCGATCGAATACTCTTCTCGTAGTTTCATAGCGACGCGAGACGTCCCGTACAAGCAGTCGTACAGAGTCAGTAAATGGGGGATTTTCTACGAGACAAAATATCGTTGGAATTACCGCAAGGAGGTAAAAATTCTCTTCGTTCTTGGTAAAACTTTCCAACTGCGAGAACGAGGCAAAATCGATTCGATTAAATTTTTCTCTACGCAGTATTATAGCGCCTACCGCATCGACCTCCACTGCTGCGAGGGATACGTACGTAAGGAAAATGTTTGCGTACCTGTTTGCATCCCATCTTGCCTGAATAGCCAATGCCTTCCGAATAATTATTGCAAATGCAATCAAGGATACGTGAAACACACGGAGAACGAATGTTTGCCGTATTGCAAGAATTGTGTCAACGGAAAATGCGTGGCGCCAGGCGTATGCCAATGCGATTTCGGGTATCAAATGGACAAGAACAATATCTGCAAGCCAGTGTGTACCGAAAACTGCGAAAAGCAACACGCTTATTGCTCCTCGCCGGACACGTGCACCTGCTATATTGGTTATCAGAGAATTAACCATGTATGTATATTGTAGAATATTGATTCTACGTTAGTTACAAGTGCACTTTAAGAGAAATTACAATTTAAACAACGTGAAGTAAATTAAACAAGTTCGTTGAGAGAGAGAATTCCATAGTTGCCTATAATGTGTACCATTATTACGAAGAATAAACGTTATACTTTTTATATACTTTTTTCTTCGTGGAATTAAATTTTAGTTACTTTTGTATTACTTTTGTTATAATAATACGTAATTGACAATTCACAATTTGCCTCTCAACGCGTTGCACGATAGATATATTAACATTGGTAACTCGTTTAAATAGTAAATAATAAACATCAGGGTGTTAATAAATTCGTGAGATATCTTTGCCGAAACGAGAACTCTTCTGACTTCGTCAATTACTCGTAACAATTAACAATAAATTTAAGAGACGAGACACTCGATCGTTCGAAACATTTTAGCAATATTAATCACAATTTCATTAATACGGATATATTCTGTCGAAAAATTCTTGGGGCAAATTTCTTATTCTTTTTCTTATTTCTTTCAATTTGAACGATTCCAACAGCAATGCAAGCCAATCTGCGTGTTGAAATGCGTGAACGGGAAATGTACGAAGCCTGGCATATGCACTTGTCACAACGGTTACATACAACAGGATTACACGAAGCAACACGTTTGCGTCCCACATTGCGAGCAATCTTGCGAGCCGTACGGAAAATGCACTGCCCCCAATATCTGCACTTGTTACAAGGGTTATCGTCTCGTTAACGGGAGCCAGACGAGCGTAAGTACGCTTTTCAATAAGCCGTGAAACCTGGAAGGTTAAAATTCGAGTCCTCCCTTATGAATATTTCGTAAAAAAAGAATACTTGAAACGCTCACCGAGAGATCCAATTTCTCGATTCGAGAAAGATGGTGGAAATTTTTATTTTTAAATCTCTTTATTTTTCCTCATCGATCAAAGTGCAAGCCTATCTGCGAGCGAACTTGCGTGAACGGATACTGCAGCGCGCCGGAGGTATGCAGCTGCGATCCAGGCTACGAACACTCCACGACCAACCTCACCACGACCATCTGCCGACCCATCTGCGAGCACGAGTGCATAAACGGGTATTGCAGTGGCCCGAATATCTGCGAATGCAACCCGGGCTATCGATTTTTAAAAGGCGCGTCCGATCTCTGCGAACCGTTCTGCGAACGACCTTGCAACAACGGCCGCTGCACCGCTCCCAACCAGTGCACCTGCGACGATGGCCACCACCCAAACCCGGACGATCCCTTCACTTGCGACCCGACCTGCAACCAGGGATGCCGCTTCGGAACTTGCACCGCGCCTGGCACGTGTACTTGCTACGATGGATACTCGGCAAAAAACGCGACGGTGTGCGAGCCCGTGTGCGACAAAGGCTGCGTGAACGGGTATTGCGACGCTCCAGGGGTCTGTAGCTGCGATCCCGGCTACGAATTATCCGAACACGATTACCACGTGTGTGCACCGGTGTGCAAACAAACCTGCGTGAACGGATACTGCAGCAAGCCGAACAAGTGCGAGTGTCAAACGGGCTATCAACCGCTAAACAATAACACCGATATTTGCGAGCCGATCTGCGAGCCGAATTGCATCAACGGGCGTTGCATTCGTCCGCACGAGTGCAAGTGTGATGTAGGTTATCGATCGTTGGAAATCGGTTCGAATATTTGTCAACCTGTTTGCGAACAGCCTTGCGTGAACGGATACTGCAGCGCGCCTAATGAGTGCACTTGCGACGAAGGTTACGGTCCATCCGAGGACGATAACAATGTTTGTGAGCCGATTTGCGAGCCGAATTGCACCAATGGATATTGCATTCGTCCGTACGAGTGCAAGTGCAACCCGGGTTATCGATCGTTGGAAATCGGTTCGAATATTTGTCAACCTGTTTGCGAACAGCCTTGCGTGAACGGATACTGCAGCGCGCCTAATGAGTGCACTTGCGACGAAGGTTACGGTCCATCCGAGGGCAATGGTAGCAAGGTTTGCGAGCCAATCTGCGAACCGAATTGTACTAATGGATACTGCATTCGTCCGCACGAGTGCAAGTGCAACCCGGGTTATCGATCGTTGGAAATCGGCTCGAATATTTGTCAACCTGTTTGCGAACAGCCTTGCGTGAACGGATACTGCAGCGCGCCTAATGAGTGCACTTGCGACGAAGGTTACGGTCCATCCGAGGGCAATGGTAGTAAGGTTTGCGAGCCGATCTGCGAGCCGAATTGCACCAATGGATATTGCATTCGTCCACATGAGTGCAAATGTGATGTAGGTTATCGATCGTTGGAAATCGGCTCGAATATTTGTCAACCTGTTTGCGAACAGCCTTGCGTGAACGGATACTGCAGCGCACCGGATGAATGCACTTGCGACGAAGGTTACGGTCCATCCGAAGGCAATGGTAGCAAGGTTTGCGAGCCGATTTGCGAGCAATCGTGCGGTGAGAATGGGATCTGCGTTGCGCCCGACACGTGCGAATGCGAGCTGGGTTACAAGCGGGCGACGGACTGGAACGAGACTTTATCCAACGTTTGCGAGCCCGTGTGCGAATTCGACTGCGGAAACGGTACCTGCGCGTCCCCGAACGCGTGCACCTGTTACGCGGGCTACGCGAAAAGGGACGGGCAAGCTCGGTGCGATCTCGCGTTGTGCGAGTCTTGCGACAATGGGACGTGCGCGAGACCCGGGGTGTGCGAGTGCGACCAAGGTTTCGTCGAAGCGAGACGAGGGAATGGAACCGTCTGCGAGCCGTATTGCGAGAATTGCTCGAATGGAAGCTGCGTGGCACCTGGCGACTGCCTGTGCAACGTCGGCTTCGTGAAGGAGGATAACGGCGAGTGCGTTCTCGCGTGTCGAGACAATTGCAACGACCGTGGGATCTGTGATATCGAGAACAGAACTTGCGATTGTTTCTACGGGTGGGATGGGACGCATTGCGAGGAGCCAAGATTTTGCGTGTTGGTGATGGAGAATGGGATAGAACGGTTGAACGTGTAAATATCGAAGTATTTAAATATTTTGTTGATCCATGCTGGGAACCGCAATGCGGTTTCCTCGAATTTATTTATTTATTTATTTATTTATTTTCTTTTCAGATGGAACATAGAGTACGATGCGAACGATACGATTGATTACGTGTTCGCGAACAGTCCATCGTGTTATCACGATTGTTTGAAGAACGAAACCTTGTGCAATGGAAAGTACAGGAAGGACGGCATGGGGAACGATACGATCGCCTGTCTGATCGGTATATACGAACGAGTATAAAGAAATTCGATTCGAATAGTAAATTCTCGATACGCTGCTCACGATTATATCTATCTGTTTTTTATAGATTCTAATTGCAGTCGAGTGTACGCGTTACTCTCGAATCACGTAACGATAGGTGGGATCGCTATGGGTACCGCTATGGTTATAATCGGTAGCGCCATCGTGATCTATTCGCTGACACGAAACGTGAGAAAGAGGAAATTTTCTCTAGGTAATTGATTAGATTACACGTAATAAACGTAGCGATGGAATTTTATAAATTTTACAAAATGCAGATAATACGCCAACATCGATGCAGATGCAGAATCGAGCCGAGAAGAAGAACAGTTGAAAGACGAGTTCTCGTTCATCACACGTTTGTAATTTATAGATTAAATTATTGTAATCAATAAAAAGAATTGTACAAAAGAGAGAAAAAAAAAAAGAGTAGCTATATTGAATAATACTTGTCACTTCCGGATTCGATCTAATCGACGAATGCAAATTTTCTTTCGAATAGAATACGATAATATGCTATGATATCGCAAGCATCCTGTCTCGTATCGATAACGCGGAATACAAGCTGGAATGAGACAGATAATTGATATAATGTAAACTCGTAAGCGTATCAGTTGCAGTTACTGAATCGCTTGTGCTAAAGGACGGATTGAAAATATGAGATGCCTAGGCTGCTTAGTCTTTTTGAACCTCGTCACGACGGCGTTATTTCTGACCGGTGAAAATGGATCGGTGTGCAACGTGCAAATCAGGTATTTATTGCACGTGCTATAAACTTATGTAATATGCGTTTGACGCGTGTACAAATTACGAGCGATAATTTTTCAGTCGCATGGAATCAAGATACGTGCCCTACACGGAAACGTACAAGGTCAGGAAATGGGGTCTCTTCCATCAAACGAAGACTCGAACCAATTACAGGATCGATGTAAGAGAGAGGAGATCGTGAACGTTAGAAACCACGGAAACAGAATGACGCAAAAGTAACGCAATTTTTATGTTTGAAGGAATTTTATAATTTTTATTTAAAAAAAGAAATCTTAATATTACCAAGATCTTTGCACGAGTAATGATTCGCAAAATTGATCACATGTTATGATTAGGAGATTCATCGATAATTCTGATTTTAAATTTGAAAATTGAAATTTATAAAAAAATTACGTGTAAAATATTTCTTTTATCGACGAGAAATATCTTGTAGGGATCGAAATCAATCGGCAAAAATTTCACTTCTTTACATATATTTTAACTTTGAACGATGCTACTTTACGATTATATTCAATTTTCGCGAGAATGTCTTCGTTTTCAGATTGCGTTACTTTCCAGTCGTCTCTCGTCGATATTATTCACGCGAATTATTCTCGGTTTCCAGCAAGTCCGCGTATGGCATTACCAGACGAGATGTTGCGACGGTTACGAGAATCGAGGTGACGTTTGTGAACCGGTATGCAACCCCGAATGCGTGAACGGAAAGTGCACGAGACCAAACTCGTGCGAATGCGACAACGGATATTCGCCTATTGGACAAACGCAACACGCGTGCGAGCCCCTGTGCGAGAGCAATTGCACGAACGGCTTTTGCGCGAGACCGAATCAATGCTCGTGCAACGCCGGCTACGAATTGATCGAAGACAAATTATACTGTCTGCCGGTTTGCGTCCAAGATTGTGCGAATCACAACGCGCGTTGCACGGAACCGAACCGCTGTACCTGCAATTCGGGTTATCGACAGAGCGACACCGATACCGACTTACCATCGTGCACGCCGATCTGCGAAATACCGTGCGTGAATGGAAAATGCACCAAGCCGAACGTTTGCACGTGCAACCACGGTTACGTGATGGAAGAAGATATCGATCTGTTCGCTTGCAAGCCCAAGTGCGAGCGAATTTGCCTGAATGGGAAATGTACGGCGCCTAACGTATGTACCTGCGACCCAGGCTACCAGTTAAACGAGAACGGGGAATGCGAGCCGAACTGTACCGAACCGTGCGTGATGGGTACTTGTATCGCGCCGGATGTTTGCAGCTGTTATCCTGGATACGGGTTACCGGATGATTCCAGATACGTGTGCGAAGCGGTGTGCGAGAAAGCTTGCGTGAACGGGACGTGTACGGCGCCCGACATGTGCACGTGTCACGATGGCTACAGAGTGACAGGAGACGACACGATGAGGCACGTGTGCGAGCCAGTTTGCGAGCTTCCTTGCGAGCCTCGCGGCCATTGCGCAGCGCCCAACACTTGCAACTGCATCCAAGGATATCGGATGATCGATATGACCGCGAAGGAGAACGAAGTGAGCGCAAACGATTTTTTTTTTTATACGTTGGTTTCTAAATAAATAATGATTAAATTGATTCGTTTGAACGCAGGTGCTCGACAAGGACACGATCGTCTCGGCCTGTGAACCTGTTTGCGATCAAAACTGCGCGAACGGCACATGCACAGAGCCCAATGTTTGCACTTGCAACGACGGGTTCACGAAGGGTGCAGACGATCTCTGCGAACCCGTCTGCGTGTCCTGTCGCAACGGTTCCTGCGTAGCGCCGAATGTATGCCAATGTTGGGAAGGTTTCGTCCGCACGGAAGAATACGACTGTGCGCCATTTTGCGAGAACGGGTGCGAAAACGGGGAGTGCGTGGCTCCGAACGAGTGCGTATGCCACGAGGGTTTCGAGTCGAGTGGAAATAACGGTGATAGTACGTGCGTGGAACGCGTGCCCACGTGCACGAAGGTTTGCAAAGGCTATAGTGTCTGCGTGGAGGACGAGAAACCGTGCGAATGTTCTTACGGATGGACGGGGTCGGAATGCAACCAATCCACCCTCTGTATCTTGGTAATGAATCCCGACGATGAAAATCTCATTGGGTGAGTATGTCGTATCGGCGTACGCTCGAAGGAAACTCGGACTTTTAAAAGAAGATTATTATTACAGAATCACGATTCGTAACGATACGAATAACACGCTAACGAATGCTAAACGTTACGCGCCGCTCTGCTATCGATGCAACGGGACGACGAACAACGAGAGTTATTGTTTCGCCATCGACGACTCGTCGATTGGCTGTTTCGTCGAGACAGGTATGCATTTCGAACGAATCGATTTCGACACGAAAGATTTCGACGTCGAGACGTTATGTTTATTAATATTCCGATTCTCTTCTATTCCAGTAGAATCTTCTTGCTATCGTGGTGAAACGGATGGTGAAGCGTTCAAGATGCAGAGCGGAATGTTAGGAGCGGTCATAGTTTTAATAATGGCGGTCGTGACGATAGCGTGTTTCGTGATTTATAGGCATCGAAGAAAAAAGATGCGTTTAGGTATATTATAGCACAATCGAGCGATACTCATGGGAAAATTTGTACGATAAGATGCGTACGCGAGAAAGATCGTGGAGGACCGGAACTCGGGACGAGATAAAGCGTGTCGCCACATTTCCGTTTTTTGTTGTCGCGAACTGGAAAAATCGAGTGATATATCTCTCGTTTAATTTTTTTTTTTTACGCAGTTTGTGTAATCGATAATGAATCATTGGGCGTCGTTCGCAACTTTCCTTCGCGACTTTTCTGCGGAATAGATTATAACGAAACGCGTTTTTTCTTTTTTTTTCAGCCATCGTGCAGAACGTATTACAAGAAGCAATGGCAAACGAGTATTTGATTTCGGAACGAGACGATGATTCTTCGTATTAATTTACATTTACGAACGATAAATTAACGCACAATAAATTAGAATTAAATATTTCTATCCACATTGGAACGAGACTTTTGTCCTTTTATATTGAATGTTTTTAAGGCTAATGAAATGCGCACGATTAACACGCGTACATATATCCATGTAACAAAACATTATGACGAACATTCTATTAATTTTGATGGAATTTATTTATATTTAGCAAAGATGTTTTTCTTTTTTTATTTTTTTATATTATGTAAAATTAATATAATCGATGAGTTCAAAAGGAATAGTGAAACCTATATTCCATCAATCGTAGCACTATTTTACAGACATCGAACGGAGCCAAATGACTTCTGTCAATGCACCTTCTTTCATAATCGTCATCGAATACATTTCGATCAAAAGTTATAACTTCTTAATTATCGAGCTATATATATGTATATATACATATAAGTAGACTGTACAATTTTTCAATTCAAATATCATCGATTATACATTTCTATACACACAATACGCATAATGGATAAACATCCGCACTCTACTTACAATATAAATTTATTCCGTCCAATTTAAACCTCGATTTAACTCATAAGCTCGACAAACGTATAACCTTTATAACCGACCAACATTTTCACATATTCAACATTTCTATTTTTCATTTCGATCCCGGAATCAACCCCCTAAAAGGTCATCAAACATTAACACACCCCCGATCGTATCCGTATCGATCTAAATCCTTCGATCCTACGACCAATCTCTCCACGAAACTCTACTCCATCTCACGGGCACGCACGAGAAATCACCACCACCACCCCCTGGAAGGGGGGTGCGCACGATCGTGCACGTAAAATTGGGATCGTTTCAAGGTAGGCGGTTGGAAAGGTAACAAACCAATAATACTTCAACCCCCTGACCGGAGATTGGGCGATGGCGGAGCGAGCAGCCCTGATCTCGATCGACGCGGCGCGCAGGGAGGGGGGAGGAAGGGGTGAACGGGTGGCATCGCGCAGCTGCAGTGGTGGTGGTGGCGGTGGTGGTCGACCGGCTGGCGGAAGGAAGGCGTCAGTGAACGGGGGAGCACGGAACCGAGAGAACACCGCGGTGGTGTCGTCCTCCGACAGTTGAAAGAAGACAAGAATCGTCGAGGTTGTGCGCGTGTGTGTGCGTGCGTGCGTGCGTGCGTGTGTGTTTGCCTCGTTCGCGCCCTCGTTCGCGCGCAAAAGAAAGAGAAAGAGAGAAAAAAGAAGAAGAGAAGAGAAAAAGGATCGCGGTAGGGGTAGGTCGTTGAAAAGGGTCGAGGAGAAGGCTGGTTTCGATCGTGGTGTTTCCGTTCTTTTTTTTTTTTTTTTTTTTTTCTCCACGAGAAACGTTGAACGCGATATAAGGCGGTCGTCAGAGGCGTCGAGGGCGAGAGGGCGTGCAGGAGGGCGGGAGGGGGGAGGGCAGGCGACAGGGAAGGATGTCGATGCGCCGCCGGTGGTCGGTTTCGGGGGTTGACTCGCGCCGCGGGGGCGATGAGCGCACTTCCCTCCGCCCTGAGACTGACCTGCTGCCGTTCCTGGCTCCTGCTCATCTGCCTACTTTGCCTGGTGTCCGGCTGCACCTGCCGCGGCACGCGACCGGATCGCCTGACTCGCCAATTACCGGCAGATGATGACGTGCGCGTATCCAACTACGACGACGACGACGTCGACGAAGACTATCAGGACAACGTCACTGGTGAGTGTTGCGCGGGGATCGCGCTGTGGACATGTCGCCAGCCAATGGATTATATCGGTCGCCGTCCCATTTCCCACACACGGATTTAACAACGGGATCGTATCGTGGGCGTGAGAGACTCGTAGTGGCGAGACGAGTCGTTGTCGTAGTGGGAAAATCGCATCGATGGAATAGGCGTGGATTCTATTCTGGGTGAAAGCTCGGGGGATTTTCTAGTGATACGAGTAATCCTTGGATAATCGTTTCGATATCGATTCGAATATATTCGGGGTGAAGTGGTGAAAATAGCAAGGGGGGAGGGGGGGAGGAATAGAAGTGGAAAGAGAGAAAGAAGGAAAGAGGTGTGTTTGAAATTTTTACAGGGACCGACTAGGTGTTCTATTCGTGTATATTTGCAGCAGGTAAAAAAAAATATTAGCCTTACGATTACGAGCCTCGTTGCATTTCTCCTTCGTTGCATCGAAAGCATCTGATTCGTATATGGATCGATACCGCTCCTACCGTTCAAGGATCGTTACGTTATTTTCTCGCGAAACAAGGACGATCGAAGAAACGCGTGTGCCTCGAGATTCTTGCTCGCCTCGCCTTCTTCGCGCCTGCTCGATACGGATGTGCAAACACTTCTCGCTCCAGAACCTTCAACCAGCGAGCAAACACTTGTTACTGTCATTGTTACCGTCATATAGACGTTCTCTCTTCGTCAGATGATAAGTAGCCCTCGTCAGGCCTCATTAAGTCCAACGAGGAGGCCGAGGTAAATGTTACGAAACGCTGCAAAGTTCACCACCACCACCACCACCACCACCACTACCGCTCTTCTCAAAACCTAGCTTCTCAAAACGACGACAAACGAATCTTCTTACGTAACGAACAATTTTCTAAGATCGTTCTAAGAACGATTCAATCCATTTTCCTCGAGCCCCGAATCAATCTGAATCGTCGATCCTGGAATAATCGTTTAGAACGAGATCGAATTCGAAGAAGAGGCGAAGAGACGGCACATTCCAGATTCGCGAGTGCGCCTGCGTCTAGGTAAACAGGAGAGGAACTCCTTTCCTTCTTGATTTTCGCGCCAACCACGCTGCCGGTATTGATTTTAATGGATGCTGCAAGCTCTCGCCTCTGTGTGTCTGTGGGAGTTTGTACACCGCCTGCATCTGCGTGAGATTTCAAAGAGATCTCTATTTCTTCTCTCTTTCCACACCTCGCTCTACGCCCGTCCCCTTCCAACGATATAAGAGAGGAGGAGAGAGGAACGGGGGAAAAAAGTTAAAAAAGAAAATATCGTGCGTCATTCACTCCCGTTTCCTCGACCCATTCACCGAGAAACCTCCACTTAACAGGAACTCGGGTTGAGAGGAACATTCGGCGAACAACCGCACCCTTATGATCACGTGCCGTGAACTTCTTGAACCAGGTCAAAAAGCATAATCCCAACTACTCTATTATTTACGTGACGCAGCAACTTCGGCCTCTCGATCGATTCTCCCCATTCATCCATAATTTCCAATTTCGTTCGATTACAATAACGTGGATTCCAGAATTTAATTTCGTTCGATCTCGAACGAAATATAATTCCGTGACGTATCGTTGCTCGGATGCGTGATTCTCAATGTCATCCGTCGAATTAAGATTAAAATAATCTCTTTTTAACGAATGAATCAAAACGATAATAGATTTCGAGCGAACGAAATATCGCGTGTTGCGAAATACATCGTGTGTCGCAATACCATACGTTTCCTTATTAATTCTTTTACGTACTTTTCGATTCGACCGTTGCGTACGTGACGATCAATCTGGATCTATCTCCAGAAAGCATAAATAGAAATTCCACGATCCTCGACGGAAGGAAGGTTAATTAGGATAAAGAGAACATGACACGAGTATGTAATAGTATCTGTACATCGTTTTCTGAACGTTTGCCAACGAAGCTGATCATTGCCGCGATAGCACCCTCCTTAAACACGAGCCCAAAGTCACGAGACGTTTAATAACGATATAATGCGATAATTAAGGGAAAAATCGATAGGGTGTTTGGCGCGATGCCTGCGCCCGGTAACCCAATGAAAATGGCGCAATTATCCCGAAGGAGATTTGGCTCGTTAATTTCTCTAACCCAAACGCTTGATAAGAAGAAAAAAAAAAAAAAAA